AAACATGACATCAGTCTGTCCTTTTCATTGCTTATTAAGCATGACAAGGACAAACTGTTGTCAAGTGAAGGGCCGGCATAAAACTCGTTACTCTGTGGTTGTGGTGCACGCAGTTTGCATTCGTAGTAATCTGTGGCATTCCTGCATTCCAAAGAGTAGTATAATATACCGGAAAGTGCATTCTCGTTTCGGATTACCTGTTGTGTTTGTTTATTTGCGATTGTTTTTTCTTTAATTTAATTATTTCGGCTATCTAATATGCCATCGATGTTACCAAAGAGAAGAGCCCTTATTACCAAGTGCTAGTGAACCTGAGCAAAAACATCCTGAGAGGATCATACTGCCAAATTATTCAAGAACACCTGATACACATTCACGCTGCATATTTACACAATATACATGTGATATACAAATAAATAAAATATACAATATGATACAATTATGTGAATAATAGTCAATAAATAAGAAGCAAAACTACAGTTTTTATTTTATTCATGATTCCTATTCCTAACCAAGTTTTTCCTAATAGTTATTCTTTAAAATCGCACCGAATAAAATGAATTAGTTGTAATATTAATTCACTTCATACTAAGTTCATAGGTTGACCCACGGAGGTTGACCTATGTTTCATTGAATATTAAACATAACCTCAAAAATTTTTTAGTTTTCCTAATAATTTAAGTTCTCAGAAGCGTCCGTCAATAATCTTTGTTTTTACAATCATTTACTTACGATTTTGAACCTAGAAAATAATATTTCATGATTGTTGGTTCTTAGGCTAACTATGTATGGACGCTGAACAATGTCCTTTAGGTCCTACCCCGCCACTGTGTACAAACAACACACAACTTTATTTAACTTGACAAGTTCTAGGATAAATTATAATCTAAATGCTAAACTCGGTCACCGTCCTTTAACCAAAATAATCTTCCGAGTCAGTCCAAAAATCGAGTTGCTGATATATATAACTTATAAATGCAACTATAGAAGAACGTTGATTAGGTGAGTAAGTATTCGTTGTCTCATTTAAATTTTATGAACGACACAATGTATTGAATTGGACATTTGGCAAACGGTGGGGATATATAATACCCTTCACAACAGTTGAAATTAGACAAATTGCTGGTCACCTCTGTCTGGCAGACGGGTGTCACCTTGCATTTATGCCGATGCCTGAAGTTTCGTGTTAGAGCTGATAAAAAAAAATCAGCTCGCTAGTTTGGTGATGACGAAACGCTTACAGAGTCGAGAAGTAACATTTATTTTATCATAAATAATGTCTCTAATAATGTCATCATCAGGAGAATATCTCGCCCCGCTTCCCACACTCAGCACCCCGCGGGCTCTCTAGTAAGAAGGAGCGCATGCTCTATTTAGTAGTATTATTATATAGTATTTTCTTATTATTTAGATTTGACCAAATAATTAGGTTCTTTGTTACCCCCGAAGTATGGCTGATTTACCCCCGGAGGGGTAATTACCCCCAGGTTCGGAACCCAGGCTCTAGAGGCACTCGCCAATTCTCTGCTTGAGGTCCCCTTAGGATCTCGCTGTCCCTAAACCCAGTGACGCTGTAAAGGTCAAATACGACCAACAGTATACACACTAAAAAAAAATGCTCAATCTATTCCTCTTGTGTCAGCAGATACGTTAAGCTATTGATCCCGCTTGCATCTGCAGTCGTTGGCATGAATCAATCCGTAATAGGCTACCCAGGTCGTGGCACGTCCTTCCTGTGCCATCTATATAACCAATGACATCTATATCACTGCAGTAGGGTCATTTACAGGCTGATGATGGAAGGACTAAGTTCTTTACAATATTCGTGTTGCTATTATATATCCAAGGTTACTTTAATCGCAATTGTTACCACTTAATGCCTTATCATCAAGAAAACTTTGATGACTAGTGTTATCAATATAATCACGCTAACTTATTCTAGTAATCATGTCACAAACAAACAATGATTTATTTAGTTTCTTTTTGCAAGATATAAGTAACATAATTATAAATTGATTTCTTTACAATTGCATAGAATAGTTAACAGTTACCTTAGGCAATCTATAACGCTGACCGTACTACCTGGATCACTCTTGAGTCAACTGTTGCTTATCTCGCCCCTGCCATATGGAGTCATAAAGACTACAAAATGGTGTTGAAAAGCTAAACAATATTTAAACTACCAAAGCAGTGTCAGTATCACTGACCTTGGCCAGGACTCTGGACTTGTGTTCTTACTCCCAAATGATCGCAAAACAAGATTTAGGTACCTACCTAGACAGACAACATTTCGGTACGGTAAAACTGACTTCATTCAGGGATTAACAATATTTTAAATTTTAAAGTAAGAAAGAAAAACATGAATAGTAGGCGTGGATCTGTGGTATGAAAAGAATTTGCTAAAGTGATTGACCGAAAATCTTTCAGTTTGTGACTGCGTCGACGTAAATAGTTGGCTAAATGCCAAAATATCCGTAGGAGTTGTCAGAAATTAATTAGAATTAACAAAAATAAACACTCTTATAGTGGGTGCCAGAACGATATCAAATACGATACGGATATTGGAATATTGGAAGTGCCAATCAATCAAACTTTGTTCAAAACAATCCGACAAAAAACGCGCTACATTTACGAGGGATTTTAGTCAGATACGCGAATGATGAACTAATCACACTAATATTAAAAAGGCGAAAGTTTGTCAGTGTGTATGTTTGTTACTTCTTCACGTCTAAACGACTGGAGCGATTTTAATAAAATTTGGTATGGAGTTAGTTGACACCCTGGATTACCACATAGGTAGCCCTAATAATCCCTAATAAACCGCGGGTAACACTGCGGGGCACAGCTAGTATAATCATAAAGACTACGTAAATGGAAAAAGACAATCAAAACAATTCTAATACATCGATAACGTTTTATGATAACAAACGAAAACTTATCTAGCGCTTCGCTTTTTAATCTCATATCAAGATTTTTAAACAAATCAAACAATTATTCTAATACTTTTTATAAAATCTCTATAGAAAATTAAGCAATACTAATAAAATTATAAAAGCTCCGCATAGGCTAGATAGCGCAATTTCTTCAGATTTTAGGTGACTATAATGTCAACTGAGATAAGAATCACAGTTAACAGTAATTTCATTCATTCAATATAAAACAAGGAGAAAAAAGCAGCCTAAACTGAATAAATGATTTTTGAAATTGAAATTCTTTAAGACGACTAAATTTAAGTATATAAATTTAATCATATTACGAATATTGGCTAATTAACGTGCTGTTATAGGGCTACAGGCAAGGGTCGGATGTATACATAATTTACGGCTTCTCTGAAAGTCTCGCAGCAACATTGCATTTGAGAGGATTCTTACTTATATTGACAAGTTGGGTAAGGATGTAAAGGAAAAATACGTTTTTTGCCGCTGTTTTTGTGTTGCTCATGTTAATATTATCATGCCTCGATTTGTCATAACGTTGAGTTTAGATTCCATTTGGCGTAAGCAGGCAACAAATCATCAACTTCAACTTTTTTGAAAACCGTTTTTTCCCTCCTCTTTTTTGTTGTATTTTATTATATAAATGGAATCATAAAATATAATTTTGTTTTTGTTATGTTCGTTAGTAATTTTTGGTCAAGGTTTGTTTGATAGGAATTGCCATTTAAAAGATTAGGAAAAGATATGCTTAACTATTTGTACCGAAATTACAATATTTCTCGTGTTTTTCTTGCGAAATGGGCGTTGGTTGCTAGTTTTAAATAAAGTCATAATCACAGAATATTGATAGTTATCTTCTTTGATTCAATGGATTTGTCCAAAATCATAATAAAGTTTTTTATTGTCTTCTAAATAAATCTAATGAAAATACCTTTGCGAATGATATAAATTTGTCTTAATTTCTATTCCTGAGAACGAGTACTGTACTTTAAAACGGATATGATCCAACCATCTGTTGTTGCTATTTTTAGTTGTGCCAGTGAAATTTTGCCATTGTTACTACCTACTTGAACAGGTAAAACACGTTTACGTAACTCATAAAATTACATTATAATGGACTTAAATTCTGGCTCTTGAAGTTATTACATATATTTATAAAGGAGTATATCGTACGTCATGCTGCATGCATGATAAAGAAAGGAATACCATTATAATTATGGCAAATAAACTTTTAATTGTAATTTGTAACTGACATTCACAACACTTTTGTCTTTTCTAAGATTTTTGTTGTTAGTTCAAGATGCAGGTGTAGGAATCCTCACTAACGGACATGCAAGCAGCTGCTTCGTTCGTAGTCTTATTTGAACATCAATCGCGTTACGAAAGACGGTAACACGGACGTAAAGACGTAACAAAGAGGTAAGTTCTTTTATTGTGAGAAAAAACCAAGTGACTTTAGACATACACCGCCTTATTACAAAACGTAGCCTAAAGTTAAACCTGGACTAAAACTGATGCTGTTACTTTTGTTTGCTAAAAAGAAGACAGAGACAGCATTAGGTTTAAAACAAGACAAACTTTAGTCCGCGTTTTGGAATAAGGGGGGCAAAATTCTGATACACATTTCGCGTAAAGATGGTTGAAAAATACAACTAGGTATTATGTGGTTGTGTGTTGTACTACTAACAAACGCTTCACGGATTTGTAGTTTGAATAGAAACAGGAAAAGACTTCGAGGTTTTACGACTAGTTGAAGGACTTTGCGTAGTTTCTAATTGGGCGAGTTACTTATCGCTTCATAGTAGATAATGCCATCCTATGGTTTGCAAGAAATTCTTTTGAGTTAATAATTTTTTTAATACGATCATTGAAAATGGATCGCTTTGACATTTTTCCATCCCGTTAAAATATTACGTACTTGCATATTAATTTATAAAATTCCAGCTAGCATCATTTCATAATTGGTATGCATGCAATGCACCTGATGACCAATTTTTTTTACAAATAGGGTTTTGCTAAGGTGCCTTTTACAGAGCAACACAAAGTCAAAAAAGAATAACTTACCTTTGCAACCAGTTTGCCATCGTCGCCAATGAGGAACTCCTCCAAGCCGAATACCAATGGAGACGCGTTGCCAAGATGAAAGATCCTGGACGATGTCCCTCGCGTCACTCTAAACTCGATCGTCTTAGCCAACAGCACATTGGTAATCATATAAACAGACTTCTTTCCTTTCAAGTCTGAAACAAATACAAACATGACTCTAATGGCATCCTTTTGAAATTCAAATAACATTTCGTAATCTCGCCCAAAAAGGTTTGCTCAGACATTAGGCAGACACTTGCAGCAGTCAAGTCAAGAAAAATCAATATTATTATGATGCGAAACAGGAAGTCAAGGCCTCACCGGTGGATAAAATTTCATTCACCTATCGCCTGTATTCCAGACCGAGTGGAAAAAATATGACCCACACACAAAAAACTTGAATCCGGCCCGTCAACAATGCCACTTCTAAAGTAAAGAATTATTAATAGGAGTACTGTGTTCCCAGCTGCTAAAATATCGCAAATCGTCTGAATGCAATACATTATCCTAATTTAATAGTCTTATTATAAACTTAGCTATATTTGAAAATACACATAAACCAGGTGGGATGAGGTAATTTACGGTGCCTCGAATAAAAAAAGATATCATCAACAAGCGCTAGATTACAAATGATCGCGAATCTAGAAAGCTAGATGACCTACGTTTATATGTCGGTGAACCTAGATTCTGTCTGTTATTCCAAAAGTGAATTGTATTCAGATGAATTATTACATTACGGCATTTATAGCCCTGCAGATTTTATTGGAATTATTTTTGCCTAATATTAGCACTGTATTTTAAAGTGAGTGCCAGAACGCTTTAACTCTACCTTATGACCTGCGCAGACGAGGGGCTTGTCCGCAAACTTTTATGTCATCCAAAATAGGTTGCTTACAATTGCATCGCGTAACGCACACAGCGAATTAAAAGTCCCGCGTACAAAAAGTTCCCCGAACAACCGTGGACACCTTGAGACCGGACAGGACAAAAGTACACGGGATTCCCCGAAGAAAATAGAACTTTAGTCGTGGCGCGCTCGATCTGATTTGAAGAGATGGACCCAGTATTCTCCTAAAAAAGGTCTTCTGTTTTTCTTAAACTTAATGTTCATGACAACACAACGTAATCTGAGTATATTTACTTGCGCTTGAAATTTTCGGGCAACAAATTTTCGCACACCGTATGCGTTTAGTCAGTGACAAGTGTCGGTTGATTCACGATTCTGGGACTTTTGCCCTCCACGGAAAGTCCCTCGTCTGCGCAGGCTATTATTGGCGACAAGTGCAAGCAAATGTATCTACGACCGACGGTACCTATTTACCAATCGATTGCTAATTCGTTCAGTACGGAATAAGTATAACGAAAAAATACCTTTAAGATACGGATTGTTTATTTAAGAGAATGCAATATTCCAATTCTTTAACTAAAGCTCAGTAATTAACATCCATTCTCCAAAAACTATATCGGAATGTTAATAGAAAATTAAAATATATACCTAGTACATCAAAGTTGGTTAACATTTTTTAGAAGTGTGCATTAGTAGAAAATATTTGATTTAGCATTAATTTTACAATCGTGTTCGATTATCGTGACTGTAACATACTTTATTGATGCACAGAGATTTTTTTTCTTTGTAAAAAACGTGAGAACGTGACAAATTAGCATAATAAATAAGGTACAATTCCGCAATGGGCTGCAGGCGACAACCGCAGACGACACTACGGCTAACGCCTGCGGCTGACCCTGCATTATGGAGGCCATACACATTAGGTTTTGCATGATGGTTTTAACCGTGCCTGCATAACCGAGTTTCATATTGCACATACACGTTAGGGTTCGCATGTACAGTTTTGCCATTACTCTCAGTTGAGCTACGTGACTGTGTGTGTAGAACGCCTATTAAGTACTGTGAATGGAATATTTTTTTTAATCACATCTTTTTTCGTAGCTGTGGGCACTAATTCCTTGACCTTAGTTAACAATCTCTGGTATTCTTTGCACTTTACGCCAAAGACAAGGTTCCGACTTATAACTTTCTATAAATTCTTCTAATGTTGCATTGCGCTTGCGACTAGCCATTTTCGAAACGACGCGATGGTGCTCGGACCTTCTGCCGTTGCAACAATAAAAAACTGAGAACTGTGACAGGCAAGCTCACCGGACGCCACACACGCTCACACACGGCATAAAATATCAATTTTGATATTTGTTCGGTTGCATGTACATGCACCGATAACTGTACAGTTTTATCACATACACGCTAGGGTTTGCATGTCGGTTATGCATGTACATGCATAACCATAATGCAAAACCTAGTGTGTATGGCCTCCATTATATGCATTGTGCAGTCGCGGTATGTCGCCGCGCTCGGAATCAATTTTATAGAGATTCATAGAAACTTGTAATGTCGCCTGCGGTCTGCAGCTGCGGCCTGTGGTCGGCCGTTCAGTTCGGACTTGTACCTTTATGGTCCGCCTGAAAGTTTGCGATACGATACTCAATTTCCAACATACCCTTATTATTTTCAACATCCAGATACACATTCTTCACCAATTCCCTGTTCCTGGGTATGATGTTGCGTGAGAAGTTCACCATGATTACTCTAACCTTGTTCTTGATGGACTCATCTTGTAGTGTTATCTGTAACAACAAGGTTTGGTAAATACTTAATACTGATCACCAACAAAGAGCGCCGGTAGGGGTGTGCACTTGCATCCCCAGTCAGGAAAATTACTAAGCTTAGTTGAATGCAAATTAAGGTCAAATTTAATATATATAATTTAATTAAAAACCCCTTCAACCTTCAATCTACATTCTATACATATAATCTTCATCAGCCTACTGATATCCCGCCTGCAGGGGAACAGGCCTTCCATATGGCTGGAATAGCGAGACAGGACCGTGACCCACCACGAGGTCCAAGTAAAATAAACTAATTAAGAAAGTGCTGTGAAACCATTAATTTTATAACTCTGTCTGTTTTGCTGGCATGCCTAAACAGTTATGAAGATTGTAAAGATTTTGACAGGGGTGAAAATAAAACTTGATCAGAGTGAGATTAGAAAAGTTTCTATGCTAAATTTATTAAACACAGATATAAGGTAATTTAGGTATACTATTTCTACTATTTATTTATTATATACAGACAACCCCAAAGACATCTTCTATTTAAAATAAATCCCAAAAATATATCTATGTCTTTACACTTTACAATGTCACACAATTAATCAACTCAAAACTTTGTTTTGAGCAAAGGATCTATGAAATTAACAATTGTAAGGTAAATCTAACAATAATTTTAGCAATTAAATGCTTAAAATAAAATTATATTAATGGCACAGGTAAGCTTCATTGAGCTTGAGAGAAATATTGTCTTATATAGTTAATTTGCTTGTGGGTTGCCCCAAAACAAAATTGAAACTGATTTTCAAAGTAAACTTTAATAAATTTTTAAGCTGCTTTAATTTGTAATATGTCTATTAATAAAGCATTAGTTTTTAAGCATAATGTTAATTTTAGTTACGCATTGTTTAGAATTAAAGTCTAAAATGTCCTTGATTGTGCAATTTAACTGACAAGCTACATCCTATTTAGATACAGATACATTTAATTGTGCTTAACAGTTTGATAGAACAGTAAAAAATATGATGTTTTGAATTATATATCTGTATTTGAAAGAAATATGTGAGTGCATGTTTATGGTACCATGTTTATAATTACACAAGATGTTAGCAACTTAGTGTGAATCAACATAACATTTACAAAACATGTTCTCAATGAGTTAGGTCTACAAAGCTCAGTCAACAAATAAATAAATTTAAATTTCCATGCAATAGTACCTACTTACAAGAACTGGTTTCATTAAAAATAAAACAAGGTGAATATGTTGACCTCTTATGGTAGAGAAGTACATCAGTTTTAAAGGTGTCCTCTACTGCTGTGGGGTCCTGGGTTCGAATTTCAGTAGGGACAAATGTTAGTATCATGAGATGAATGAAAGGATGAAGAACATGGGAACTAAGCCATGGTTCATATATTATTAAAAAAAAAAGTTAGTGATATAAAACATTCATTAATATTTATTTTTAAGATAGAAAATAATATGGTTGAACTCAACCATGTAAAATATCTTTTTTAGCTGCTTAAGTTACTTGAATATGATTATTTTCTTTTACAAAAATAAGTATTTATCTACAACTCAGCTCAGTTTCTAGACTAATTAGCAATATCAAAGCTATTAATAATATTTATTTTAAGAAAAAAAATCATATATATAATTTGAAATAATGATGAAATGTATAAATAATGATATAAATACCACACAGACATGACAAAGACATGTTTTTTAATAAAAAGCATACCATTGGCATCTTATTGTCATCATTCATGTATGATATTTTAAATATTAATGATCCCACTTTATGAATAATTAAGCAAGCTTTAAAAAAAAATTAAAAAACATATCCAAGTCACAATACTTAAGTCGTATATTATCCAAATACTTTAACCTTAAAAATTACAACTAAAAACCATAGAAAAAATACCAGCAAGTACTAACCTGGAAATTTTATTAGTGAGAAACTTAATTTTTCGTATATATCTATTTACTTATCGGTAGTCCTTAATATGTATCTCTTGTATCTACTGTATAGGTGTCCAAAATGAAAAATCGAAGTTACGTTTTAGGGACAGGTCAAGGTCATTGATGCAATATCGGCTAACCGACGGAAATCCTTAGGTACCGGCAAAGAAAGTTGTGTAATTCGTGAGAAACTACAGTAGGTACAAATTGGAAAATAAATAAACAACAAACCTTGACGCTTTCATGCGGAAACTTGAAGTCACTGTCTTGGAAATCGGCTTCCTCCAACCATTTCACGTATTCAGCATTCGTCTTCTCCTTGTCAATGTTATTGAGAAGTTCGCCAAGAGGCGTGAACATTTTACCGTTTGTTTCTTTATCATTAAGAACGAAAAGAGACGTGACTTTATACAAATCAGCCTCAGTTATATGCGGGATGCATACTAACTGGCTGCTACCGATTTCAATTTCTATTTCGTCTCTGATAAAAGGCCATGCGTCTTCCAATCTGAGCGATTTTAAATCATCTAAGCTCACATCTTTACGAATTTCATGCGAGTACAAGGATTTTACGACAACTTTTAATTTCTTGGGCATTTTGATTTAGTAAAGCACGGTTTTTATCAAACGCACGTACACTCTCCTCCGAAGTCAAATACAAACTGTTTTTTTTTGTTTTCGTTTCAGTCAGTTCGTTCAGTCAGTGGTGGTGATACACAGTAAAAAAATAAATGATGAGTGAGGTTTTTGTTGGCATGGCAGACAAATTGCCTACTGCCTGTGATCTAATGAAAAGGGATGGCTGTATGGTAAAACCCTATAAGCAGAGAGAGATAAAAATATAAATGTAAATGAGTGTTACCAGGTGGAACGAAAAATTTCCACTAGCATTGAAATATTATTCTGATTCATTGTATTATTCAATGTACCTACCTTAAGTAAATAGATGAACAAAAAATACCCGCCTATTCATGCCAGCAACAATCTAATACCCACTTACTTTATAGCATCACAATAACATCAGATCATCGGATTTAGGACTTCTGGAAGTGTAACATCTTTCCTCTCTGCAATTTGTGGGAGTGATTTCGTAAAATGGGACGGTAGTGTGTAACAGGAAGTCGCGAAAGCGAGCGCTATTTCATATGATTTTAGAACTTAATGTTCAAATGGCTTTTTTTTCTTCTAGATGGCTTCGCACGGCTTGTGCATTTAGTCAATGTCATGTGTTAAAATGTATACAAATACTATAGCACTCGTGGTCAAAGCAATAAATCAAGTCAAAGTAAGTGGCAGTCAAGTCAATCCCCCTTTCCCCATGTTTCAGTAAAAGTGTGGGGATTTACTGGAACCTCCCCGTGGACTTCTTGAGGGAACGTCGAAAGACACTTTCCGCTATTTTGTTTCACTTGCCAACAGTTGTGCATGTTCCCGAACACTTAGTGGTTAATAATCCACCATTATTAGACACTAACATCCGCCACAACCACAGACATATGTCTGTGGCCACAACACAATTTTTAAGAAGAAAAACAAAACTGCTAAAGTGACCCTGCCCGTTCCCGTTATAAAGTCCTTCAAATGGCTTATTCCTTTTGTAGTAGGTTTTATTTCTTTTTTTACTAATATAAGGTGAGGTTTCAAATGTTACATACACATCATTATGCGACTACTGTTAGGCTCGCTCGTTTTTTGGATAACTATCTATGATTATCGCGATCACAGATTTTATATCTTATATATATATAAGGTGTTTGTGGTTAAACTCCACCGAAACGGCTTTCCCGATTCTCATGAAATTTTGTGTGCATATTGGGTAGGTCTGAGAATCGGACAACATCTATTTTTCATTCCCCTAAATGTTAAGGGTAATCCACCCCTAAATTTTTTCTTTTATTTTTTATGATACATCATACACACAAACCTAAATTTTCACCCTTCTACCACCAACCCCTATTTTTTATGGCGGTACGAAGTTCGCTGGGTCAGCTAGTTGACTATAAAAATTATAAGTTACAAATTGATGTATTGAATTTTCGTTTTATGAAAAGATGCAGGTGAACTGATACAATATTCATACTTTCATTCATTAAACCGGATCGGGACTGATGTTATGATGGCAATGTTACTTTTTAATTATTTTGTATCTGTGTAAGAAAATATTTGTGGTTTGGTTTCAGATTTCCTGTTCCTGAAAAAATCAAGGTTGATGGTGAATAGAAAAGTAAAAGTTATTTCAAGAAGAAGAACAGTTTTATCCTACTTAAAACCAGACAATGCCGCGCACCTTGTTTACAGGTCGCTCGAAAAGCCTATCGTAGGGATGCCACGAAACATCAGGGGTATCTTATCTCCAACTAACACCAGAGTCTACCTGTGCAATGTAGCGCCCGGGTCTCCCAAGTCATCATCCACCTGGGAGACACGAGAACGGAATGGTTGGTGGTGCTCGAAAATGTTACGTCTGTTGCCTAGCCCCGCCCCTTTTGCTGTAATTGAACCGGCTAGGGCTTGCTCTTCGCAGGCTCTGCCACCTCATTGCGCGGACAGTCGGCAACATTAACTCCCGGCGTGCATTGGGGGGGACTGCGGTCCTCAGAATGTACGTGTATGTGGTTTTTAGTGGCCCTGTTCAGGGCGTTAGGTAGGGCCTTGCTCGTTTCATCTGGCATAAGGGCCGGCTGAAATGAGCAGGGAGGAGTCCCACATACCTCAAGCTGCAGATGACTCCCGCACCGCAAACAATGCGACCGACTGCACTTTACTACTTCTTTATTGAAAAAAAACTGGTCGTGTCTATCTATAGCTACGCTCAATGCAGAGTTCCGTAGGTGCTCATAATATAGCGCAAAAAGCAAACTTTATACTTCTACACAGAATTCAGTTGAATACACAGGTTGAATAGCATGGGAGTTAACCAACGATATTACGATATATCGTTGGAGTTCACACTATAATAGGTAATGAGTGCAGGCCCCATAACCTATCCCAATGCGTTATTTGAGCGTTGACCATAAATACATTTTCAATACATTTAATTTTTGTTTACTGGTTCATTTTATATTTTGTTTCACAACATTATTTATTGTCTCTGAGCTAAGCTGCTGACAGATTAGCGTAACTATCCAAGTGGAAGAGTTTTTTATTGACACGGAACTCTAAAAGCGGCCCAAGTGAGAGTCGGGCCAGATTTAGGGTTCCGTATCCAATCTGATTGATTAATATTGGTTAAATTAAATGTAAGTTTACGTAAAATAATCATTACCTCCAAACAAGTTAGTCAATAAGAAATTAAATAAATTTTGTAAAAAAGGGTGACTGCTGACTTTTCATTCATTTGTTTCCCAACATTTTTAAAACAATTTAAAGTATTAGATATTCATTAATAAACGTCGACCCATGTTGCGCTATTCTATGTGATGTTCCATTTAATCACCTCTTTTCTCAAAATATTTAGGAAACAGACAATACGATCTGCGCTGCGCTTTGTGAGGCTATATTATTTGTAACATGAACGAATCACTTTTCGATGTTGATTGTTCACCCTTATTTGTCGTTGCCGGAAAATTACTTCATTTCATTGAATTGATGACGATGACGCTCGCTTCTCGATACTGTCGTACCACAACCGCGTCACGCTCTAGTCACGTACTCGTCACGCGGCGGGCTGTCTGCAACCTGGCGGCTGCGTGCGTATACAATACAACAACCACAATCAACGTCTAGCCGCTGCACGCCCGGACGAATGCCAATTTTTTATTTTACCTACCTGTTACTGTTATTAGGGTTCCTTATCACCAATGATCATGTCCATGGTAAAAATGTGAGCAGAGCAGAGTAGACTATTTGCTCAACTGACTTGTGACTAGTTACTAGAGTTAAAATATCTTTGCACTTATATCTCGGGTTGGAGGAACCTGTTACCTGTGTGGAGGAACACTGCTGGAGACAGTTTATGATGATGAAGATGGAACTACAACATCTTACTAGCTTTGCATTATAATAAAGTTTCGTTAGCGCAAGAGAAAATTCAGGTTATCCAGCATCATTCATTTGACGACGAAGAACCTACTCGATGATACGGGACGAGTTTACAAGCTGGGGGCCAATCGCCTAACGGAAATGCTTTGGAATACGCTAACGCTTACGATTTTATTTTGTTATTTCTAGCCGCTTGAGGTATTCAAATGCTTCGCGCTCTTTCTTTTTCTTTTGCATTGGTAATAACAATATTAAAAAAATGAGCGTGAGGTATTCGAAAACCTCAGGCGGCTAGAAATAACAATATAAAATCGTAAGCGTTAGCGTTTCCCAAAGCATTTCCGTTAGGCGATTGGCCCCCTGCTAGCGAACTCGCTGGCTTGTTACTTGTAAACTCGCCCCGTGTGATCGAGACTGCAGTCCAAATCTGGTCGGGAGTGTGAAATACTAAATATATTCGACAGAACTCAAGCTAGGCAACAATGAAATGAAATCTAATAATTCGTTATTTTTTATAGAACCACTTAGGATTCGGCAAGGTCACGCTTGTCTGTTATTCATGAAGATCACGTGGTGGATCGACATCCCCCGTCCGTAGTAGTAATCATATGAATGATTCATGCGATTGTCGTGATTCCAAAATTACATTCAAATGATATCATAAAAAGCTAATGATCGCCGTCTGTGTTGATACTTTTTTATTATGTAGTATTAAATATTAGCATAGACTATATATCATTCCAATTTACACTTTTATCAAGTACTTAGGTGCAATTTTAGTTCGTTTAGTGTTAAGAAGTTTTATTACGGTTCTTAGTCGTCAACTGCGATTAACGGTAAACGCAGTACGTATGGATAAAAACTAAACTTAAATAAGTAGGTATTAGAGCAATGAATACCACTAGTTTAACTAAGTAGTTATTTACTAGTAGGTATATGCACAGAAGTTAATCATTCATTAACTAAGAGCCGTACTCAGAAACGTAAAATTAATTTATTACTACGTCAAGTGTTTCTACGTGTCGCCTACACAGAGGTTCTGTCCTGGGTTCGAAACCCGGCGATGCAAATTTTTGTATTATGAATACACTTTTTTTATCTTTGTCTAAGGTTCTTTAAATATATTTCTACAAAACGATACTTAGGTATAAATACAGTATTTTACTGATTACCCTCACTTTACCATAGTGTTCCCTAGCCAAGGCCGGATTAAAGGCAGGCGGGGTTGTGGCCCAGGCGCCCACTCGAGGGGGAAATCCGCTATGCCTTACCTCTATTAATTTGGGTGGGGTGTGTGCAAGAAATATATAATTAAGTATATAGATTACTGAATTATCTATGCATATAATTAAAATTTTATGAGCTTTATGTTTCGCCACCTGATGAAACTTCTCTTTTAACTTCTCTGTATAACAATCGAACAGAAAGTAAATAAATATGGTGGTACGAACTTTGCCGATATAGTCATTATTCTCGGGTTCGCCGGCTCAGCTGCTTTTTTTTAAAGATTTTTATCAAAGATATGTTAATATTTTTTTTTTTTTTTTTATAGATAGGTCCGACAAATGACTCCACCCCACTTGAGGTTAAGTGAAGGTGAAGTCCAGACGTGACGATAGCTGATACAGCAGTTTTACCTGCCACACCAGCCATCCTCACCCTGCCGGCCTGCATGTTGCTTCTTCACGTCTCTTTTAAAGGATCCCAGGTTGTAAGAGGGAGGGAACAGCGGGCAGAGCATTCCATTTACGGATAGTGCGACAAAGAAATGAGTCACCAAATTTCTTTGTACGCGTTGGAATTGTGGCCACAGTTAGACGATGACAACGTAGGCCAGCGCGCGTGGTCCTCTGAAGGAAAGGAGAAGGTGGGATAAGAGAGAATAACTCCTCAGAACACTCGCCGTGGTACAGACGATAGAACGCGCTTAGTGACGCCACGTCACGGCGTAATTGAAGAGGCTCAAGGTGTTTAGTCACCTCCTCATCGCCTATGATGCGGATCGCGCGTCGCTGTAACCTATCCAAAGCATCGAGCAAGTACTTGGCGGAGCCATCCCAGAGGTGCGAGCAATATTCCACGCAGGACCGCACTTGCGTTTTGTACAACAAGCACAGTTGATCGGGCGTGAAAAAACGCCGCACCTTGTTCAGGACTCCGAGTTTGCGTGAAGCTGTTTTGATCACGGTTTCGATGTAGTTCTTTGGATTCAGGTCTGAGCGAACTTCCATACCGAGCATGGAAATGTTGCTCTGCAGCGGTAGTGTTGTGCCCTGAAGAGATGGAAGGGGAAGGAATGACGATGTTTTTGCCGTGAAAGCGCAAGCCTGAGTTTTTTTGGCATTGAACTCAACCAAGTTCCTGGTACCCCATTCGGAAATGTGGTCCAAAGCCTGATTGAGTTCAATGACAAGATTCTCGCGTTTCTCCTTGGTTACCGCCAGCCCAGCCGCTGCTTGTCCGAGATACCCCGCATGCACTGTACTATCGTCTGCATAGCAATGAATATTCCCAAGAGGAATTAAGTCATTGATATGCAGCAGAAAGAGAGTGGGGGATAGGACGGAGCCCTGGGGAACGCCGGCATTCACTGACATGAACCGCGAACTGCTACCATCCGTAAGGACACGAATTCTACGCTCATGCAGGAAATCAGCTACCCAAGAACAGAACTGGGCTGGCAGACCGTATGCCGGAAGCTTGGAGAGAAGGATTTTGTGCCAGACCCTGTCAAACGCCTTGGCAATGTCAAGGCTGATAGCCAACGACTCGCCACGCTTGTCGATAGCCTCACCCCAGATATGAGTTAAGTACGCTAGAAGATCACCCGTCGATCGTTTCGGTCTAAAACCATATTGACGATCATTAATCAAGGAGTGATCCTCTAGGTAGCGGGTCAGATGGTTATTAAGGACCTTTTCTAAAACTTTACATAAAACTGAGGTGACTGCTATTGGCCGGTAGTTTGCCGGGTCTGAGCGATCCCCTTTTTTGGGCGCCGGTTGCACATTGGCATCTCTCCAAGTCTCCGGCACACGCCCCAAAGAATACGAGCATTGGTACAAGCGCGTGAGCACGGGAGACAACTCCGCTGCACATTTTTTGAGTACTACTGCTGGGATGCCATCAGGTCCACTAGCTTTCCGGACGTCGAGTGATTGCAATTCGGCACGAACCTCGCGCTGCCTGATTTTAATATCAGGCATCGTTGTGCCACAGTGACTTTGTACTTGTGGAATTATCTTTGTACTTCAGTTTTTTTGTAGTTGAGGTTACGAATGAATATGCAACCAAACTTAGTTTTGAAAGAAATATTAAGGTAAGACGAGGTAATATGGTGAAATTTCCGACAAAATGCAACAGCAATGAGAGATGAACTCAAGTATAATGATCTAATGAGCCTTTTAATTAATATACTTTTTAAATAATCGAAATCGGTTCATTCGTTGCGATTTTATAACTAATTTTATGGTAGCTAATATTCACCAGCGACCGAAACGTGTGACGTCACAGAGCTCGATTGTGGTTCACTTCTGGTGTCTTCAGTAACGTCTCTACGCACGCTCGCGCCCAAGCGCTAGAGCGCTGTGACGTCACAGCCATCACGCAGCCAGCCGAAAATTCGTTTAGTTATTTGGTCATAGCTTCGTAAATATTTGTCGTTGAACAAAAATGTAACCACTGTATTTAATGGAATCCTTAGCTCCATAAATCTGCATTCTCAACTAATATAGCTTCGGATCTTCATTACTGGGTCACGTACATCACCGACCGTGACAAGCTAAAAGAATTGTATGAAGCTATCTCAAACATAGACCACATCCCGAAGATTCGAGCAATAAATAGTTCTACTAATTCTATAATGCGCAGCGCAGACGGCGGCGGGGCGGGCAGGCATGGGAAACCCATCGCGAACGATAGGACAAGTGGAACCGCATACTGCTATCAGGTATAAAAGAACTCCATGCACACTGCCACACACTTGCGCGGACAATAGGAAAACTTTTATAGAATTCGCGGTAAAGACCAGTCCCGCCCCTTCTGAGTTTTGTCTTCCCATGATTGAGGATCTAAATAAATAAAAAAAACTATTAATAAGCTTTATTAATAGATTTTAAGCACACACTTGTGAAGTATTAAGCATCCCTTATACAAGTTTTACTTATACTTGGCATATAAATCTGGAATGTGTACAAAACATTGTATTGTATGTATGTGCATGAAGCTTAGATTGATAGTATTATTACTAATAATATAAGTTACATTTTACAAAAAATTTCGAGCCAGTTTTAATATATTAAATATAAACAAGAAATTAGACATTTATAATAATTTTATTCATACACCCTCCATTCATTATGTCAAAATAGAACACTTTAAATCCCATCATCATTCACGCATGTTTCAACACTCATTAATAGAAAGACTTGTGACAATTTTGAGAACAAGAACAACACTGCACACAAATGTACCATATATAAGAACTATAACTTTCATTTAATTTCAGTCTGTCATATACAGCATAACAACATTAAGGTTCTTCTGCATGCTATATTTTCAATATTTAAAATATTAAAATACTATGTAAACATAATACTGAGAAAACTATTAAATAAATAAACTTCAGATTCATTATTGAGTTCGAAACTATGCAGATTGTGTACTATTTAAATACAATCTTTACTCTCTGACACAGGATCAGGAGCAGTAATCAGACCACAACAGCTACCAAACTGGTAATAAATAAATTAGAAAAGTACTAGAATTATAGTTGATCAGGATTGTTTGACTTGGTACAGCTAGACTCATAATTTGACATAAAGCAATTTTACATAAATCTGGATAAATGTAGAAATATTTAACATAAAAAAGTTTTAAACTTTTTTGTATATTATTTTAAATATTTTTACTTTAACTTTGACGTTCCTCCATTTTGTGTGTCAGTTTTCTGAAAATCCATTAAACAGAATTATTACACAGTGTGTATTTGTCTTATTCCATACACCAAAATAACCCAAATAATAAGACACACTTATATAAAACTAGCCAAAATATGGAGTAAAATAAAGTATAAATATAGGATTCCTAAAAAAAATGAATATATTCATGAAATCCACATACATGCATTCTGATAAAACTATTGTAGCCATTTCTGTGCTGGTTTCTGGTATAATACCAGCACTTCACTTAGCTTTCTACTTTTGCTATACTAGACATCAGTCTGTCGTTTTCATTCCTTATAAAACATGATGTGGACTGACTGTTTTCAAGTTTACAAATAGCAAATATGAATAGCCAAGTGTTGGCATTAGCCTTTCTTAACAAAATGTCAGCAATAAATACAAAGATACATACACCATTACATCAGATATAAAATTATGGATTATGTGGTATAGCATATTTTCATTTTTAGGTGATAAAATGCATTTCGTCAATAAAACTGAAATTAAAGCTTCATTTTTAAATAATGTGACTTTTAAAATTATTAGATAAATATTACGTAAAAAGCTAAAATAAAAAAATAATCTAGGCGAGTTTTACTTCTTGTGGATATTTGGTGTGGTGGATTGGAACACAGATGAAGCAGACATTAAATTTTCTATGTACTGGCCTAAAACTTGGTTTTCTGATCGAAGTTTCAAGTTTTCTTCTTTCACAGAATCCACCCTTTGCGACAAATCTGAAAAAAAATAACAATCAAATTTTTATGAAAAATATTTTACTGGAAGATATAAACATCGAAAACTAATAAATAATCAAGAGCTAAACCTTAACTAGCTAAATTCAACTCTTCCCATGTACATGTACCTACAAGCAATGAAATAATAGCACAATGTAAATGAGAATAATGTTATGAACATACCATCCAATGTGTTTTGCAATTCGAGGACTTGAGATATCAAACGTGCTTTTTCTTCCTGTTCATCAATTCCAGAGTCGGGTTCAAAACTAGGAGGGCCATTTAGGCCAGGGCTGGAAGAACCCGCAGTGTAAGAACTGGGTAAAGAATCCATAGAGCGACCATGATCTAAATGATTGTTTTCGACGTCATCAGTGATAATAACTTGCGGGTCATCATCAGCCAAGGGAATATTGTCATCACCACACTTCTGCATTATTGAAGACATTAAAAAACTTTCTCTTTTTTGTCAATTTTAATAAAATCGACCAAATAAAATGAAAAACCTCTCTTTAGGGAATGACAATGACAGTTTGACAGTGGCAGTACTTTTCTTCATGATATTTTTCCTTAACGAAAACGAAAAGGACACTAAATTCTTACAGCCTTGTCTTTAGACATTTAATTTTTTCTTTTCTTACATTAAAATGCAGGTCAAGGAATTTATTTATTTGAAAGTAATCATTTATGAAACTCGAAGTCACCTTACTCCACGCAACGTTATTTTCTGTGGCACATCGCGTTGCGTCGGATGTTCCTAATGTTATTCTGATCGTAGAAAATAGTACATTTTGATTTGACTTAACCCGCGTGGCGTAGTGATGCATTTTATAAGTCTGTTTCTGCTATGACGGTATATAACTTCATTGAGTATGCGTTTGATGCAACCACAGACTATTAGATGCTTACACATGCAACTTTTCTGTGTCCGTCATGCTAGCATACACCACATCAAATTCAAGGTTGTAAATCATGCTATTAAATAGTGCCTAATTATAGTCCGGCTATTCAGACAATGCGTTTCTGACAGGTCGTGTCTGTTCCTTATGGCGACAGAATATAGTAAACTTTAGATCTAATAAAAAAAGAGGTTCGAAAATTAACTCTAATGCTATCACCATAAGGAACTGACACGACCAGTCAGAAACGCATTCTCTGAGCGGCTGGACTATAGTGCATTAATGAATAAAAAATTATCCTCTTTAGTTTAGGAAAGTATAACTGTTTTAATAGCGTAAGCTGGCGTTACAATTAAGCTAGCGTACACAGCCTTTCTCAGAAACAGCGAACTTCTCTTAAAACATATGATGCATGTATAAATTGTGCGTGAAAATCTGCCTCTGGTAATTTAAAATACTATTATGCATTCGCAGCGGAATAATAAAAAAAACTAGAGTCAACTTCTAGAAACAAATGTACTGAAATACAGTCGCAAAGAAAATTGATTTAAGCGCAAATTGCCACATGCATGGGAGATGGAGACGAGGAGCAACAACGTATGACAAATTGATGGTTTAGGTTTAGAGAATCATATCAGAATTGACACCAGTACAGGAACAATTTAATGGATAAAAGTAATCCCCTTCGTATAAAAGCTACCTACGTGACACTGACGGAATTGTTATAACACAAACAAGCCATAAAATAAGAGGAAGTTACAATTTAATTTTTTTTTTCAAGAAAACTACCACCATTGCATAAAAGCTCAACTGTGGAGTATGACAGAGATGCACTGTTGTCAAATTTAAGTTTAGCTTTAGAAAATCATGCCAGAATCGATACCACTTTGTTTTTATTACAATAAATAGGTAGTTTTTTTGAAAACTGTGATGACATACTGGTATAGTACCCAGTAAGAACGTCACATGATTATGATGTGATAAACATTGTTTTTACATAATCGACACCAATATTTCTATATAAATATACTTATATAAGTACAGTATGTGTATTCTATCCGTTACCCTAGTACACCATAACACAAGCCTACAGTGCTTACTTTGGGGCTAGGCTAATTGGTGTAAGAGTTGGAAGTATTTATTTATTTATTAAAGTACAGCGTTCTCTGAGCGCACCTTGAAGCGTATATAGAGGAGTCTGACCACACCATATCTAAAAAGTCACGCTGGATAGTTTTTGGCGGGATTTCATCGAGTGCGGTTGGCGTCTTATTTAATGTATTCTTAAATTCGTTTATTGTTGATACTGTGAAATAAAATTGGTGTGATTTTGTGTTACAACCATCTGCGCAACTGAAAAATTAGTCGATTCTTTAAAATATACGCTATTCCGGTGAAGTAGACGTGAGAACTTTATTGTAGTGTTGACTGCCTCACAGAAGCTTATCGGAAAAACCAACTCGGTAAATTTCGTGCCAAACCCTCCAAGAAACATTAGAATGCGTCACACCTACATTTTAATATAAATAAAAAATGAAGATAAGGATTTGTATTTATGTACACGACTAAAAAACTTGTATTCATGGTCATGAATAATTAAAAAAAAAGTCACGCTGACAGTTCTGACAGTGACGTGACAGTGACATTCATGTGACAAAACAAAACATTTCCATTTTCCACTGTTCTACTACTTAGATAAAGTAGCTCTAGATCGCGTTTTTAATATTTTTGTGACAACAGTTTCTTTTAATTAATTTGTTTTTGATGAAATGAAAGTATTTACTAATCTACTTTAAGAACTAAGAAACCCTGAAAAGATGTCATTAGCTATAAGGAGAACAACTGAATTGATTGGCGCTGCGAAATGGTTTTTGAGGCGAGGTTGGAAGTCTTATGTAGCTCATATTTACTTAATTTTCTAGATAATTTGATAGAAGATATTTAGCTCCTAACTTATATTTTAGATAGTCGTGTCCTGTCGACATTGCCTGAGAAAGTCGAAGAGCCTCCAGCTGAACTAACCTCAAAGAGATATAGGCGCCGATTCTTTCAGAATGAAGCTATTCTCGAAACCAGACATGCGTACCCGGAGTTTCTACCCGATCCAAATCCTAATTGGAGGAATAGCCTTCGTGAGAAACTGGAAAGGGCAGATATGCTGGAAAGGAGGAGTCAAATTGATATACCTGAATTTTATGTTGGTTAGTAACGCTTCACTGTAATCATTGTTTTCAGAATTTGGATCTATGCCAAGTCTATACTTATTGTTTAAATCAAATTTAAGAGGATATTAAAGACTTTAAAGTCTAGTAAACTGAAACAACTTATTCTTTATTTAATGATTAATTTCTCAATTTGGCCATGGATCAAGTTGTATTTTTTCTAGCAAAATATAAAATCTAGCACTTTGATGTCACAAAAATATAATGAACACCAATTATTTGTCTTACAGGATCAGTTTTAGCAGTTACAATATCAGATCCTCATGCTCAGAGTAAAACCAACAGGTTTGTTGGTATTTGTATTGAACGCAAAGGATGTGGCCTGAGGGCAGAATTCACTCTTCGTAATGTTGTTGATCACCAAGGACTAGAGGTTGGGACACTTTTTCTAAACATTCAAATTAACTTTTGCTTTGAGGCATTAAACTAGGTATTATGAAATGAAAAATACAGACCAACTACATTAGTAAAATAAAAGATTGATAAATACATTCATAATTAGCTGCATCTTAGGTATACAAGCAGCTAACATCATGGCAAACTATATGTTAATTATATTTAACATTAGTTTGTATTGTTTTCATTTTGTTTAATTTCTTTTGGTGTGAAGTAGATAATTTTTTTTCCTGTAGTATTTCACTTTCTGATTTCTTCAGGTGCGGTATGATCTCTATGATCCAACAATCCAGAGCATTCAAGTTCTTCGACTTGAGAAGCGTCTTGATGACAAATTATTTTATTTGAGGGATGCTCTGCCAGAATATAGCACTTTCTCCTTTGACATGGACCCAGAAATACTTCCAGAAGGAACACCTATTCCTGTAAATCCAGTTCAGGTATTATTTTCTTTATAAGAATGATTTATGACAACTATAAGAAATTAAATTATTTTTTGAATTTAAAGTTAAAGTATAAAACTTAAATTATCAAGATCAGATATTAAGAAAAATCAACTCTACTTATTATAATAGTATGTTTGTAAAAATTGAAACAGATACTCATAACATTATCCAGGAACTAGTAGGTCCAATTGATTTCAATAAACAATAGCATGAGATAATCGACACTAATTAGACAAGCATTATGTTTGATAGTATTGGTGAGCACAGTACACAAAGACTTACATGAAATTCGCTAATATGCGTACTTTTGCATCAACAGGTGAAATTGAAACCAAGGCCCTGGCTGGAGAGATGGGAGCGCCAGGAGCTGAAGGGTGTCTCAAACATTGAGGAGCATCTTAAAGAAAAAGACAGAGTTCGAAGAGAACTGAGGAAGACTCCTTGGGAGAAATATGATTTAATGAAACAATACAGGTATGTACTTTGGTCATTTTTAACTGATTAATGCAGTAATATTTATGTGCCATTGAATTTTACACTAGAGGAAGTAAAAGTGTAATTTTAATTAGTTAACTTCTTATAGTATTGACATGTTATTATAAAAGCAATAGGGATGATGACTAATTTTTTTTTCTTCATTTATCAGGTAATTTATCAAAAAGTATTGGACACATATTTTTTCTTTTTTCACATAATTAAACATTGCAGAGATATATTGATTTGAAAATTCGCATGACGTCACGTTTTACAATTAAACAAGTACAATTTTCACACAAAAGTGACGTCACGAGCCCCTTCTCCCAAACTTTAACGCGCTATATAACTTGGTCATTTTTTGATTGATTGCCCAAAGAAAAAATACGTGTCCATTATTTTTTGATCATCTAACTCAGCTATACTCTAAGTGTGTTCCGCGGAACCCTAGGGTTCCGTGATACCTCTGTCGGGGTTCCGCAAGAATTTAGAAATAAAAAAATCAAAACACCTCTCTCTGGTCGTTCCGCGGCTGTGCGGACTCCGCGGCCGCGCGGAGACAAAACGCTATGAATGTTATTTATTTATTTATTTGTATTTGTATAAGCTTGTGTTACATTAGCTGGTACAATATCTCATAAGTTTGGTCTCAACAATTTTATACTTGTACAACGCGTTCGCTCTAAGTTTGCCGGTCTGTGGAATGCGCGTACCCTCCCCCACGTGACAACAAAACTTATAATGTGTCATAGTTTTACCCAAATATCTAACGTACACAATTTTTATTGTTACAATTAAATAAAAAATTTCGAACGTCATACACTCATACCTATCGCCAGCGGCAAACTTAAAACGAGCGGGTAGTATACTTGTAAGCGCTCAGTCTCTTTGATAAAAGCCGCCTCTGAATTAGACGCTATAGTTGTCAACTAGCGACTTTCGTCTCTAACTTCAAAGGATAAAGTCGATATTGTTTACAACGCTATTTTTAAATTTCTGTTTTTATTTTTGCTTTTTGTTTATCAAAGGTGCCGACTCGAGTATTTTCGAGAATATTTGAGATCGAGTCTAGGACTAAGTATAAAAGCGGCGATCGCGCGTTGGCGTCGTCAGTTGATGATTAGCGTTCGGAGCGATAAGTTACTACCTACTTACAAGCTCGCTAGCGAGAAACTGGTGTTCATTGTTTTACTGCCTGCTGTATTCTGTTGTCTCAGTTTTATACATTTCTTCCCTGTAGGTTCTAAATTTAGTCTCTTATACGCAGTAACGATTGTGCATTATTTAAACCCCACTATCCTGACTTGTAACATTATAAATAAAGAAGAATGGAACGTTGGCTTAAAGGTGTTAAACGTGTTCCAACAACATCTTCTAATGACGCTGAATGTTCAAAAGCAATGCGCGCGGAGAATTTAGCAATCACCGATCCAGAAGATGATGCCACGAGTGCCACGACGTCAAGCTCGACGGTTTCAAAGACGAAAAAAAGGAAGTATGATGAATCTTATATCAGTTTCGGATTTGTTGATTCCAACGGCTCACCTCTCTGCATGCTCTGTAGTAAACTGCTTCCTAATAGTTCCATGGCACCTGCCAAATTGCGTCGACATTTAGAAACCGTACACCCCGAGACTAAAGACAAGAATAAAGAATTTTTTGTTCGCAAAAAAGATCAGTTATTAGAAAGTCAAAAAAATATGATGCATGTAACACAAACTACCAACGAAAAGGCCACGGAGGCATCATACTTAGTTAGCTATCGCATTGCACAAGCAGGTGAAGCGCACACTATCGCTGAGAAATTAATAAAACCATGTGTATTAGACATAACAAAATGTATGCTTGATGAAAAATCTGCAAAGCATCTTTCTACTGTTCCGCTATCAAACGATACTGTTTCACGACGAATCCATGATCTGGCAAGCTACGTCAAACAAGAACTAGTTACACGTCTACAAAATACACGATTCGCTTTGCAAATGGACGAGTCGACTGATGTCGCTGGTTTGGCTATCCTGCTGGTTATTGTGAGATATCCATATAAAAGTTCTTTTGAAGAAGACATGCTTATGTGTTCATCGCTGCTTACAAACACTACCGGGGAAGAAATTTTTAATAAAATAAATATATTTTTTGAAGAACATAATCTCAGTTGGAACAATTGCATTGACATTTGTACAGATGGGGCCAAGGCGATGACAGGTAAAACAGCAGGAGCAGTGTCACGAATGAAAAATAAAGCGCCTAATTGTAGTTCCAGTCATTGTATTCTGCATAGACAAGCACTTGCGATGAAGCAAATGCCGTCTAATCTAAAATTAGTTATGGATGAAGCGGTAAAAATAATTAATTTTATCAAATCACGACCACTACAATCCCGATTGTTCTCATTATTGTGTGAAGATTATGGCAGCAAACATAAAACACTGCTGCTCCATACAGAAGTGCGATGGTTGTCTCGGGGAAAAACTTTAACAAGGCTATTTGAACTTAGAGCCGAGTTACAAATGTTTCTTTCAGCAGATACTTCTTTTAATTTGAAGGACCGTTTGTATGATAAAACTTGGTTGTTCCGATTGTCTTTTATGGCGGATATCTTTCAAAAACTTAACGAATTAAATTTATCATTGCAAGGTAAACAGACAACAGTGTTTCAGGCCTATAATAAAATAACTACTTTTAAAAGAAAATTAGATTTTTGGATCATTTGCATTGGTAAGAAAGAAATAGAAAGTTTTACGTTACTCACTGAGTTTGTTAGCGAAAACGACTCAGAAATGTTTGAAGATAATGTGTTTGAAGAATTGGTCCAATATCTCAGTTCGATGCGCGCATCTTTTGAAAAGTATTTTCCCGAAGAACACAATACAAAAATTAAAGTGAACTCCTGGATTCATAATCCTTTTTTACCCAACTTGGAAAAGCCTGAAAACATGTCAAATGAGATATATGAATCTCTTTTAGAAATGTCATCAGACACAAGTATGGAGTCATTGTTCAAAACGACGCCTCTTAATGATTTTTGGTGCAGAATCCAAGATGAATATGCAATGCTTGGCCAAATGGCTCTGGATATTCTTCTCCCGTTCCCAACTACATATTTGTGCGAAACAGGATTCTCTACCTACGCAGCCACGAAAACAAAATATCGCAATAGACTGGACGCCGAAGCTGATATGAGACTCCAACTTTCTTCCATCAAACCTGATATCAAGCAATTGATGAAAAATAAAAAACAGTTTCATACCTCCCACTAGTTAGATTTTTTCTTTTTTAATGTTTTCTATTATTGTCCTTACCAAGTGGTGAAGTAAATAATAATTGGTAACGGATACATTGTACTTTTATTATGCTGATTAATATAGAATACACTTATAAAAATAATTGTTTTATTGTAGGGTTCCATCAAGTATTTTGCTTCCCAAAAGGGTTCCGTCATTTAAAAAGTTTGAGAACCACTGATCTAACTGATGGACTAAATAGAATTTCGTTTACTGTACCCCGTCAACACCCCTATTAAGAAGCTTCTTTTACACTGAATTTTATTTACACAATGTTAGCAGCTTATAGCTAATCTTATCTGTCAGTTTATATTTATAAATTTTAAACTGACATTGGTTATATTTATGTTGTGTTATCATTTTCAGAAAAACGATACCAATCGAAGATCAGAGCAAAATTTGGGCTGAAGTACACAATCAGCTGCAACAGCTGCAGATGGCCAGGAAGAAGTCAGCTAGAAAACGCACATTCACCACACCTAAAACACAACTTGGTTAATCATTATTAAGTTCTGTAGTGTCATTAAATTTTATAAAGAACTGCTAATTTGTATAGTATAAAGTACATTTGAACTTATTTTTCGTTTTATTTTGCCTTCGTTTTGTATAGTATTCTGTTATATATACTTTGACCACCATACCATTGAGGCTGAGTGGTTTGTACGCCGGGTTTCAAAGTGTCGCTTATTCAAGAGGTCCCAGGTTCGAATCCCGGTGGGAGCAGATATTTGTGTGATAAACACGAGCATTTGTACTCCAATCATGGATGTTTAAAATGTATTTCTATATAAATATATATATATATATATATATTATGTATCCGTGTATGTATTCTATCTGTTACCCTATTGTTTCTTATTACAAGTACACAGTTCTTACTTTGGGGTTAGGCTAATTGGTGTAAATGTTGGAAATATTTATCTATTATTATTTATAGGTTGATAAATCAACAATTCATTGGTCTGATTCTTTTTATATGTATAGGTCAGTTTTAAGTATGTTAAGGCTCAGTACTATGGATATGCTAGCTAGGATTGGGTCGCAAAAAATAAGCACTTTATTTATTTGGCCAGGCTTATTGTTCTGAGGGCTAAGTTCTTAGAGAAAATAATCAACTATGGCATGGACCAATTGGTCCATGACTGGTAGTCACTACCGTTTTAGTCAGGCGACTATTTCCCTTTGACATGGATCCTGAAATACTTCCGTAAGGCGAAATGATATTTTTTATAAATTAGTGTAATTCTTTTATGCACCTATCTATCATGAAGTATGATCTGACTTGGAGTTGCTGTTCTAAATATAAGTTTCTATGAGGCAGTTCATGTAATCATAATACAGTTTTTGAAAGTAAGTCCAGTCCCCGTAGCGTGAGCATTACAATTAATATTTTAACACGTTTTTTAATCGCGTCTAATTGTCAAACTCTATATTTATTTGACAATTGATCGTGATAAAAACGCGTTATATATCATATCGCGGCACTCATGCTAGGGGGCATGGTACATTATAACAATGTACTCTATGGGTACAATATTTATCATTAACTTTTGGGGATACAAAATAGTTCGCTCAATTATAAACAACTTAATAACGCCATCTGTTGGCAAAATTGTGATTACATGTATTATATAAAGCTGCCTAGGTATAGATTTGATATGAAATTAGAAAATAGTATTTACAATAGGAAGTAACTAACTTCATTCGGATAATTAACATTGTTTTTTTTAAATAAAGGTATAGAAGGAAGATAAATAAAGTTTTACTACTGCTGTGACTGTGAAGCATTAACCTCTGTTTTATCTCTACTAGTATTATAAAGAGAAAAGTCCGCAATGCCATTTTTCTAACTATTATAGTTATGGCACAACTATAGGTCCCATGCGGTTTCACCCGCGTTAATATGGGGAAAAAGCTTATAGAGAGCCAAACTTAAAAGATGAGCATATGTTGTCGCGGACGTTTTTTTATAATGCTTTTAAAGGGGAACAATTCCGCCATACATGATTTTTGTATAACTTTAATCATTTACGCAGCGCACACAACGGAAGCGTACAAATGGAATATTTTTACCCGTTTCGCAACATTTTACATCGATGATCAGCTCCTACTGGTCGTAGCGTGATGTTATATAGCCTTAACCCTTCCTCAATTAATGCACTATCTATCATAAAAAGATTTTTTCAAATCGGACATAGTTCCTGAGATTTGTGCATTCAACAAAAAAAAATGTTACACAACGGGTCCTAAAGTATGCAACAAAATTTTCACTATTAGTTAAGAAGTAAGTTTTCATGGAAGGTATATAATTACGTAAAAAAATTAATTGTGTATAATATTTAATATCGTTGCCTGAGAAAAAACAACTATAGTCTACCTACACTACAGCTCTACACCGTAGCGAAGCGAGGGCGGGCCACTAGTTTAATATGGACGTAGTTACGCGAAAACGTTCCAACCCACAGCGACCCCATTTTGAGATAAACGCAATTTTGTGTTTTAGCGGTACACTTTTTCCCTGTAATTATTTCAGGCAAATACTATTGGTGTTACTGTGGAATGCCAAATTGGTTATTGAATGATATGCATATTTTTTGTAAATACATAATACAAGGGGCATATAAATAGGTAAAACGAGTTTGAAACGTTTTCGCTAAATTTAATTTTGTATGAACCTTGTTAAATAGCAATTATGCATAAACGTTCCAGAACGAATTTAAGTGTATTATTTTATAAATATATCTAAAATAAATATGTAAAATAATAAATAACAATGAGGAACATACAAAAACAACAAAAATTTGAAAATGTATTACAAAAAAAATAGAACGTGATCTTTTGAGCTTTGAACCTATGCCAATTTGCTGATTTGGTTCCAAAAGTTATCAAAAACTTATATTATAAACATTCAATTTTCATCATCGTATTCTATGATCTCGAAGTCCGGAACTCCACCAAACCCATCAACATCATCAGTGCTTCTTCAGAACAGAAGGCAATCCACTTCCTGTGCACCTCTTCCTACCTCTCCTTCTACCAATACATAACAATGCCCAGTATCATTAGATGCACTATGGATACCACTATTGTAGAACTAAGTAAAAAAGTTAAACCTCTTCAAGTTTACAAAATGACAAAGACTGATTTTATAGTACAACTAAACTGGAAAAGAAGATTATCAATAGGAAGAAGTTTACAGACTCATCTAAAGTTAGTTGGCTACATACAAAAGAAATTAAGTTGGATAAAGATATAATTTTTTCTATTTTTATGCGGTCTACGATGGAAGACGATTTCAATGAGTTGAAAATTGATAAAAGAATAAAACGAGAACTACAATACATAAAAGAATCTGATTTTTGCTTATTGTGGCCTAACGACAAACCGATTGCTCCAGCGAAATTAGTGGACTTACAATCCATGTACCACTACATACCCGAGGATTGCCTTCAATTTTATAGAACGCTTCAAAGTTCTGAAGAAGCACTGATGATGTTGATGGGTTTGGTGGAGTTCCGGACTTCGAGATCATAGAATACGATGATGAAAATTGAATGTTTATAATATAAGTTTTTGATAACTTTTGGAACCATATCAGCAAATTTTTGGCATAGGTTCTAAACTCAAAAGATCACGTTCTATTTTTTTGTAATACATTTTCAAATATTTTTTTTGTTGTTTTTGTATGTTCCTCATTGTTATTTATTATTTTACATATTTCTTTTTGGTTTATTTTTATAAAATAATACACTTAAATTCGTTTTGGAAAGTTTATGCATAATTGCTATTTAACAAGGTTCATACAAAATTAATTTAGCAAAAACATTTCAAACTCGTTTTACCTATTTATATGCCCCTTGTATTATGTATTTACAAAAAATATGCATATCATTCAATAATCAGTTTGGCATTCCATAGTTAAACCAATAGTATTTGCCTGAAATAATTACAGGGAAAAAGTGTGTAAATTGCGTTTATCTCAAATTGGGGTTGCTGTGGGTTGGATCATTTTCTCGTTACTACGTCCAAATATACCATAGTTATTTATTTTGGTAAAAAATATCTTATTCTCTAGAACATACTTAATAGCAAAAATGGATCAAGTATATGTGGATTGTTTATAGCAAAAAATTAGAAAATAATATATTATAATAAAAGGTTTCAATTTATTTAGAACAGTGTTCGCAGCTTAAAAAAACAGTATGGATTAATCTAAAAGGTTTCAAATTACATGGAACATTTTTGCAGAAATAAAAAATGTATAAAGATTTTGCAAAAACGTTCCAACCCACATGGATCATTTAAGAAACCATTAAATGTGCGTTTTATGAATTTAGTATAATGTTCCAAGACAAGTGGAACATTATAACGATATGTTATTCTATTAAGAGTTTTTAACAATATGTTTCAGTATGCATGTAATGTTTTTACTTTATTTTGAGTACACGTCCTTGGCATAATGGTGGGTTGGAACATTTGGGTTAAACTTTATTGATGAAACTAACCTAAAAATACTAGCATCTTTGTGTGCACATGATGTAATATGTCAAAAATAGTACCCTGGTTATGGTAACTCATTTTCGAGTGACTTGTGGGTTGGAACGTTTTCGCGTAACTACGTCCATATACAAAAAATGCCAATAGATAGCGCACCTATACGGATTATGACAAGTTCACAGAGTACCTTTTATATATAGGGAACAAGTTTCATTCATTCATTCAATAAAAGGATTGTTTACACAGCACGATAACAATAAAAAAAAATCTGTATAAATTTAATCAGAGAAATTTGCATACCTAGTTATTTATTTTAAACATAAAGGCTGATTGTTTGTTTTAAAATATTCACATACTTCTACATTAAGTTGTTTTCGATGTTTGCATTGCCTGTATCATGTGTAAGTGTAAGTGGTCCTTCGAAATTCGAAACATCGCGGGCGAGCGGTCAAGTCAAGCTTGAGAATTTCATTCAAGTTTGATGTTAGTGGACAATACATTGTTTTAGATGAATTTGTATTATTTCCTTATTGGTAAATACAAGTGAACTTTGTGAATTTGTGACAGAGTTAATGTGTTTTGTGATTTAGTTTATATATTTGAATAGTTTTCCTTCTCCAAAGTTGCATCCTGACACCTGTCGCCGGGTAAGTGATTTGTCGTATTTTGGCATTGAAAGTGTTCATAATATTTACATTTTCTTTCTTACAGTACTTTAATATCAATTAAACTAAAGTGTGAATGGATTACAATTATAACTTTATTTCACTCTTGTCAACTTCCAATAAGTTATTTTGAACTGTGTCCTCATAGTTGCATTTATGCAACTCGACCATCCTTGGTATTGATTAAGCAGTTTCAACAAGCGTCTTTTAAATGAATTCAACAAGTATAACCTTAACAAAACAAAGGATGCAAGTCCGCATTTTGAATCAATACTTTCTTACCATGTTTTGGGATCACCAAAGTTCAGTAGGGAAACTTCTTGGATATATTCAATCATTTTACTATTGTTATTACAAATAATACTATCCTGATTTTTTCATTATTCTAAGTTCCTTCTATATAGTCTTGCTT